CGGCGGGAGACAGCGCTTTAACGTCACAGGCCGGGCGTCCGTTGCCGCGTGTGGAAGGGGCGGCCTCGCAGGAAAGCAAAATGGAAGCGGGGCCCTGTGCGCAAGGCGGGCCGCTGTAACGTCGGCCTCGGCCTCGGTCCGCCCAGCCCAGGTCGACGCGGCCGCGAGCGTTAGTTTCGTTGAACGGATTTTCCAGCTTTAATGTTTTAGAATCGCGTTTAGAATCACGTGATCAAAGGGTTTTTTTTTTTTTTTTTTTAACGATCGGCTCTTAATAGCTGTTTTTTTTTTTCCCCCATCTTAAGCTGTGACTACCTTGAATGGATTCATTCTTCTAATGCTGTTTTAGGTCAAGGATTCTTTTTTTTTTTCTTTAACGCCCACAGCACCTGGTCTTCCTAGGTGGTCTCCCATCCGAGGACTAACTAGGCTCGATCAGGGATTCTCAGTCTAGATTCATGGATATAATTCGGAAGATTCGTGAACTTTGGGGGAGAAATTCTTGTTATCGTCTAACGGAAATTTAGTATTTCAGTTAGGAATGTGGCGACCCCCTTCTTCTCCCCAAAAAACACCCTTGGTAGTAGTAGCAGTGTGTTTTCATATTTCGGCCTTACGATGTAGAAGACATATTCGACGTCGTTCATGCTTTTCATTACTTCAAAACTGGTAGTTACTGGATCAGCAGCTAAAGGCTTACTCAAGTTCATGTAATATAATAAAACATTTAAAATACTTTGAGGCTTCGCTAACTATTTCAATATAGTTGACTTCCTTTATAATACCGTGTGTTTTATGTATTCATAAAACATTTTAGTAAAAGGCCCATAGGCTTCACTAAGCTATCAAGGATCGATGACACAGAAATTTAATCTCTGCTGTAGGACATCAAAGGAGGGAAATCAGAGGATTGGAACAGTCAAGGGCGGAAGTACTTAAGTTCTAAACTAGAGGGATGGTAGGCCGAGGAGGATAGTGGCAAATGAGAATCCGTGTGCTGCACGAGTGAATTAGAGAAGGATGGAAACCAAGGCGCACCCTTAAGCAAAGTTTTGAAAGCTACTCAAGAGAGTCTCTACCCTTAACCATCACTTTCCAGATGTGTTTTCTATTCTTGTGTCAAAGCTGAGTTGTATGACCATCATTTAGAAATAACATTTATGACACGTTCAGAGAACATCTTGTAAGGAAAAGGAATCTGTTGATGCTAACAGTCGCAATAAAACACGGCAGAACTCAGTTTATGTAATGGAAGTAGGAATTGTCAGAAATAGTTTTTTTTTTCATGATTCCTTTAAATCTGAAAAACTTTTTTATTTAATAATGGTACAACACATATAAGCAATTTTTAAGCACAGTGACTATTTTGCACTGGAGTTGGTCTTCCACTTTAAATTTTGTTAAAGCATAGGATTAAGAAAACTGTTGAGTATCTAAGGCATTGTCAGAGGGAAGATCCCTTTGCCCTGTCAGGCCTTTAGGTGATGATTCTAGTAAGTGCAAACCAGTGGGAAGATGCGGATTGGAATCTTACTGGCATTTGAGAGCATTGGGCAGAATTAATTATCTTTGTAGTTTGATATTAGAAAGGATTGAGATTGGAAACAGGTTTTTTTAAAAAACACTTTAATAATACAGTGGTTCGCTCTATGCCCAATTACCAGTATTTCTTTCCATGTGCATGAAAATAGGTGTTTGTTACCCTGGATCATACCTCTAAGCCAGCCTTATATTTTCTCATGAAAATCTGTAGTTTTAAACACTCTTGATTCTTGGTCACATTTGAGAATCCTGTACAGAATAAAGTCCAGATTTCATAACATGTAAAATAGTCTATGATCTGGGTAATTTTCCTTTCTACTGTTATATGTTTATCCTATGCTCCAGTTACGATGAACTATTTATATTGAAATAGTAATCTGAAAGTGTCACCTTAACATGTTTCTCTGCTTTTGTACCTATTGTTTCCCTCCACTGGGACCCTTCCCTGTGACCTTTACAGTAGCTTGTCAATCACTCCTATTGTTTATGTTGCCCTGTAGTCTCCAGAATGGAGCTAGTAGGCTATTTTAATTTTAGAGCTAAAAGAGCTGACTGTGTTGGATGGGGTACTTTTATTTTGTTATCTGTGGGTCTTTTGAAACCAAGCAGATTGAAAATAATGTGCGAGAAATCTGTTTCTACTAAAATCAATGTAATCTTGACATATTGCCGGGAGTTGCCTGCCTGATTTATCTGGTGAGCCAGGGGTGGCTTTCAGGTCTTATTCCAGCCCCTTATATTTTAATTTTGACGTGTAAGTTCAACATAGAGTGTAAGTTCCAGAGGTTAGAATTCTTGTCTCTTTTTTGTTCATCGAAGCAGCCCAGTGCCCAGAACATCATTGAACACACTGAAGGCATGAATGTGAACCTTTTTTTTTTTTTTTTAAACCAGCCATTTCTGACTTGCATTAGTATTTTAATGGGTAGACTATTTTACTTTGTTTAATTAGTAAAAGGGTTAGAAGCAGATATATAGATAGAGCATAAGGTCCTAAACTTGGAATATGTTTTAAAAATTGTATTCGCATATACACATTGAAAAACAAAACCAACCCTACCAATAGGTAGCTATGGTAGAATTTATTTGCTTAGGAGGTGATAAATGGTTTGATGATTTAAATAGATTGACATTCTAATTTTTTTTGTTTTTGTTTTTACATCAGATACTAAGGTGTAGGTAGGATACTGTTGAAGTTTGATCTGAAGTGTCGACTCCTGTATATAGCCTTTCCCACTTTACTAATTTTGTGAGGAATACCAGAGCACAAGTGTGATGGCCCACTCAGATGTGTATCATCTCCGTGAGGAGAAATGACTGTTAACCCTTTACTTTTTTACTTTTACAGGTGAGCGAGTGCTGTGCTTTCATGGGCCTCTTCTCTATGAAGCAAAGGTATGAAAACCTGTTTCCCTTAAAGAAGTTTTCTCAAACTGCTGCTTACATCTGACTAGGGTTACCTTTTTCATAGGTTTGTGGAGTTCCTCATCTTCTCTTTCTGGGTGTCTTACTGCTTGCTTAGTGGGTCAAATAAAGCTTCACTACCTTAACCATTCGTAGTTGGAAGGAGCATTTGAGGGGAGAGGTAGATTATTCATGGGAGCAAATAGCATTGTGTAATTAATGACTTGTGAGAAAATACTGTCAAGGTCAATTTATATGCAAATGTAGCATGCTGAGTAAGCACTGAGCTAATTACGTTGCTTTAAAGGTAAAAGCTAACATTAAAAATGAGTACCAAAAAAAAATGAATACATTTAACTTTTCATTAGTTGGTTTGTCTGGCAAAGCTTGAATCCTCGGGGCTCCCTTTCCTCTGTATTGGTGGTGTGCTCTGGTATAAAAACTGATTTTACATTTAGCCAAAGATAGATGGGGTAATGCATTCCAAAGGCAAAAATGTTTCTAGTATTTTGTTCGTTAACTTTTTTAGGACAGATGTTTATGACATTACTGTTTTTAACCGTTGTAGTTGTTTTTTTAATGAATCATAGTATACAAAACAGTATATTTTGTTAAAGGCAATTTTACATACATTCTTGGTGAATGGTTTATGTGTCTATGAAGGTAGTCTGAAAATTGTAAAGTGTCAGTATGAATAAGTGACCATTTTCATTACTTTTTACTGGTTTTAAATACATAGATATGTTTTTAAAGTTCTAAAATGACCGAATTTGGATTCATGGCGATGGTCAGGAACTTTATGTGTGTCTACATGTATCTTAGTGATATAACTCTAATACAGTTTATAAGTAAATTATGAATCCTATCGATCATTTATATCCCTGAATGTTATTTTCATTGTATCAGTTTTTGGCAAACTACTAAACTGGCAGGTTTTTCTCCTCTGGGACTGAAAACACACCAGTGAATGATTTTTAAATGGCTGTTGGAATAGCTTAAATTATCATGGTTCTCTTGGTTAGCCTCTGATAAATACTTTTCAATCCCAAACCAGATAGTCATCACTTGTCATAGTGAATGACCTCCTCTAATTCTTTCTGATTTGTTTGGCTGCTTTTAAGAAGGTAGAACATTTTTAATCTGTAGCTTTGCTAGTTGCTGATATTCTGCAGCAAAACAGTTTACTGCTAGTACAACTTTTTATAATACGTTGTAAATGTTTTTTTTTTAGTTGAGTTTGTTTTTGAAATAGTAGTTTCTGACTAAGACTTGAGAATGCACAAAACAGCATTCATTAACTGTTCTTGGATAGCTTAGCTAGCCTTTTGCTTTAGTTTTAGGGTGACCCCTTACACTTATGGGTCTTCAGCTCTCTAGACTGACTTCAACAAATTGTGATGACTCAGCAATTTTATAACTCTTACTAAGGTAGTCTAAAGTTCAAATGGTTTCTTAGAGAGTCACATTTTTGGGGCGTTCATTTTGACCACTAAAGAGTTTTAAGTGTAGAGTGTGTCTTTGAAAGATTGAATACTTTAAAATCATCCAGGTAATCTTTTTTCTTTAGTATTTCTAAGTGAAATTTTTTCTTTTTTATTTCAGTGTGTAAAGGTTGCCATAAAGGACAAACAAGTGAAGTACTTTATTCATTACAGTGGTTGGAATAAAAAGTGAGTATTAGATCTTTAAAAGCAATGTTTTATTATATGTATATTATAAGATAGCTTGTGTCATAGACTAGCACAATCATATGCTTCTTAATTCTTGTATAGTTTTAATGTCATACATTTTGCAGCAAGGGTGAACCATTTGGAAATGATGAAAATACGATAGAAATTATGGTATACAGCCATTTTATTTTAAATTTTTTGGAGTATTTCTTGTGTTCTAGTATAATGTCTCGTAATCATTAGTCAACCAACTATTTTTTCCTTTTGGTTTTGGTAGTTTTAGGGCAGCTTGAGGTTTGTTTTTTTTGCCTTAGTAACTATATATGTTATGTCAGGCAGTTATACTCAAAGCTAGTTGGTTTTCTCTACCTAGAAAAGGGAAAAAAGAGATTGCTTGATTCGCAAGTAATGACCAATTTATGTTCTGAACTTTGGAAACAATTAAATGTCGACAAGGTGATTTCATCATGTGGTACATACAGTTTTTAGCAGATGGTTTAACACAGATACAGGATTTTAACTACAGAGCCTAATTTTCCACCCTGAAGAGTTAGACTTTTTTTTCTCCTAAAGCAGGCGTGTATTGTCCTGTAACCAGGATTGGACAGTGGTTATAGATTGAATATGGTCTACAGTATCCAGCTAGTAGAGCTCTTTTTCATTGGCAGGTCTTTCATCTTGAGGCCCACAAACACCACATCTAATACTTTACTCATTTTTGTTGCTTGTAATCGAATAGCCTGTAATTTTTACTATGAGAGGTTTTAAATTACATCTTTTATTACTGGTGTGTTATCCTTCAAAGATGGCACTGCCAGAAAGTATAATTCTTTAGGAGTTGTTTTCTAGTAATTTTAATGCTTTGTGTCACCTCAGCTGTGCCTTGCTTGGTACCTGGTTCTCTATGTGAGCAGTGCCATCAGGTTGGTTTAAGGACTCTGTTGCTGCAGAAGGAGGTTTTCTCTCTGATTGCTGGCTTCGTGACCTAGGTCTTGTTTCATACAGTTCCCTGTCCTTGTGACCAAGCCAGTTCTATCCATTAGAAATTTCACAAATGCTTTTAGCTGAGAAGAAATATTAGATCCTTAGCTTTTCTTCCATTAGTATAAGTGTAAAAAGGTGAAAATCTTAAATGTGAAAGCACAATTTGACAGCTTGTGATTTCTTTTTCCAATTAATGATAATTGAAATATTTTTAATGGTAGGTAATAGTAGTAACTCAATACCAGTAGCCGTGACCATATCTTTGGTGCTTAACTCTTTTACGTATAATAGATATTCTGTATAAAATCACAGGTAGCCGTGTACAGCTTAAAGACTGGGTTTTAAGTGGCATGTGTAGGCTATAAGAAATTGCGAAATACCGAATTTTTGTATTTTCTCATTTCACTTCAGAATAAATTAATAAATTTTTTTCCTATTATATTAGAGTCCTGTAACACTAATAAACGATTGATAGGCTGCATAGATATTGTCATATTGTGTTTTCAGCTAATTTTACATATGTAGTTCTTACTCCTTGCAAAAATAAAAAAAGTAGCACTAAATATTAGAAATCTATATCGATATCTTTGTAGATATGTTGAGGAATATTAATATATCGGTGTATTTTTTTATAGTTGACTTAGTATGTAGATAAATATGTAATTTTGAAAAATTTCATCTCCAGTATTTAAAGAAGCCCTTAAATAAACCCATTTTGAAAGGGGGTGGAGTTACTCAAATTCAGATGCCCAGCATGTGTGTTATGTTTTCATTTAGTACTGTGTAAGTAGTGCCATGGATCATTGTGACTTCGGGAATTAGTTAAAAGCTACCTTTAGAGAATCATGAACTTCTTTTATGCTTAACGTATGTAAAAGTTTCCAAATGTTTGGCCTTCAGTTACTACTCTAGGAGTGATGTTCCTCAGAGCAAACGATATTTCATTTCCCTGTGGTTCATCGTTTTTAGCTCGTGACGTATAACAGGAAACTCTAGATTTGACTTGGTTTTTAGATCAAGGTGCTTGTTTAGATGCTTTTTATATCAGAGGGGAAGGGATTTGCAAGGTTCTAAAATCAAACTTTTGTGATAAGTAAAAATTGGCTAGCTCCTTTTAATTAAGAGAATTGAAATAGGTATAAGTAGATATAAAAATAAAATCCTCATTTCAATAATGGTTTGTAGGATACCTTTTAGAAAATTACACAACAGAAAGCCCAATCTCCAAATTGGAATTTTCTTCAACTTAAGTAATTATTATATACTGTTTTTAAAAGCACAGTAGAGTTGTCAAAATTTTCAAAAACCTTATTGGAATTTATCGACACAGACATTTAAATAATCCGTTTGTGAATCTTAAAGCTTAAGCTAAATTCTGCACCTAGTTACTGAGATTACTTTGTACTATGCTGTCTGTATCAGAAGTGCTGTGAGGCCAAGGCGCTCTGAAAAAACTTTGAAGACACGTGAGGATATTGTAGCCCTTTTTCCTGTTCCTGAAGGAGCTCCCTCAGTACACCACCCCCTCCTGACCTCTAGGTAAATGCATGTTTTAAAGTTTTCTCTAGGAAATCATGTTGAGGATTGCTTTTTGTTTATTCTCCTTTTGGCTATCTTATATACGAGGTCAGAGGTGGGAAGTCATTAAATAAGACTTTGCTTTGAGGATACATCTAATTGTGGCACTAAAGGAGCTCCATCAGCAGGAGAAAAGAGTCACTTTGCACGAAAAGTTAAGCATTCCCTAAGAACTATCTTGTTTTCCCCTTTGGAAATAACCACATCAGAAATTATGTTTTAAAGGAGCTTTTCTAAATGCTGGAACGCCTTAGCAATTAGATATTTTAAGAGTAGTTGGTTCTACCTTTTGATGTTGAGAAAGCCATCTTCCTGGTTATGCCTTGGAAGCTCGTGTATTCATCTGTGAGTGAAGGCTAAGGGTGGTGTAGTCTGATAAATCATTGTAATACTTTAATTTATAGCCTTAGCTGAGTCAATCTAGATGGTATTTGAGTATTGTAGACTTTCTAAAATGTTTATGACATACTTTGAGTCTTTATTTTTTTGTCAAACTCTCAAGTGTTTTACACGTGTTACGTAACTCATAACAGTCTTGTGACCATTATCCCCGTTTTACAGGTGATAAAACTAAGGCACAGAGTGTTCTGTAACTTTGCTATCACACACAGCTAAGTAGCCAATTAGCTTTAGTTCTTTAAAAAGTCAGTATTATGGACTCCTGTGCTTCATTTTTTGAAGTTGAAATTCTTTAAGGTATCTTTATTCTGTAAGAGTATTTGCTTAGGAACTCTTAAATGCCATACTCTTGCTGTTTGGAAAAATGATTTGAATAATTTGCTTTTGGACTCGGGCAGTTTAAATTGGGAATGCTGCTTTTGAGACTATGAAGTCGACTTCCTGTATAGAGCAGAGATTTTCACTAGATTTTCATTTTAGTTGAGAATGAATTTGTAGTCCTGGTTCATCAGCTTACCTCAGAGAAATCTAACATCTTGACTCTTGAATTTCTAAAACATAATTGGAAGACAGTTTGAATAAAAACGAAAATATATTTGAATGACACTTTAATGCTTCTTTTTCAGTTGGGATGAATGGGTTCCAGAAAGCAGAGTACTCAAGTACGTGGACACCAATCTGCAGAAGCAGCGGGAACTTCAAAAAGCCAATCAGTAAGTTTGTTCTGCAACATGAATGTGAAGAGAAATGTCTTCAAATTAATTTTTGGAAATTGAATAACTGGTAGAAAGCATGTTGGCTACTTCCCTGTAAAATGATTCTTGGTACTTGTTAGCCGCTATTTTTTGGCTTTGACTTCAAGTAATCAGAGAAGTCTTTCCTAGGAAGAGGAAGGTAGCATACCTCCTATTCATTGAGTTGGTCCTTAGAGGTCTGTAGAAAACAGTGAGATGTTACTGAGAATTGTTGCAGTTGCAAAGTCATTGTTAGCGTCTCTTCTCCTGGGCTCTCTGTAGAAGGTACATTTGGGAGGGGGGAACAAAAGAGCAAGGAGAAGGGGCGTCCCCGTCAGTATCCCTCATCTTTGAAAGTACACTGAGAAAAGGAACCCTGCAAGACGAGGTGGCCTGTAGGGTAATCACTTTAATTTCAAAGCTGAAATGTATATCAGGAAAATTGAAATGATAAGAGGTCAAATAAAACTTTGAGATTAGTGAATTCCAAAACAAATAGAATTTTCAGTTATATGAGACACGATCTATTTATAGGCAACTTTTACTACATTTAATTTTGGTGTAGATATAGAGTAAAATCTTGGGCCTTATATATACTCTTGTTTTATTTTTGTGATTATGTCATTTGTCTAACTTGCTAAAAACTTTATACCAGAATATATATAGGCTTGAGACTTCAATTTGAATATAAATTTCAAAATGGAATCAAGCTGGCACAATTTATTATTTTTCTACATAAGCACCATTTTACTATGACTTTATTGAAATTATTTTTGAAGGGAGCAGTATGCAGAGGGGAAGATGAGAGGGGCTGCCCCAGGAAAGAAGACATCTGGTCTGCAACAGAAAAATGTTGAAGTGTAAGAAACTCTCTCTTTGTTTTAATTTTGCATACTGTTTTATAAGCGACATTCAAACTCAATACCCATTATCACGTATTAGGACGTATTGAAAATGGAAACTGGACCATTGTTGTAACTTGAAAAATACCGAGAAAGAATTTCGTTCTCTGGTGTTGGGTTGTGTAAAATGTTTTTGAAGATACATATTTATTCCTTAATTTTCTTTAGTTTTTTTATCCCCCCCTTTTACTATAAAATGTAAACATTTACCAATTAACCCATTATGTGTACAGTTAGTGTGGCATTAAGTACATTCACAACCCTTACCTTTTATATGTGTAAATATAGAGGTTTGTGTAATACAGTTTCTTTTAACAACATAGTAGTATCAGTAGGATACAGGTTTTGAGATTTCATGGGGTCGATTTGTTTTTTTCAGTACAGTGGGGGGCTCTGCAGGTTAATTTGCTCATAAGTCTTTCAGGATTGTGAGCCTCAGTGGGGGGCTCTGCAGGTTAATTTGCTCATGAGTCTTTCAGGATTGTGAGCCTCAGGCCCTCCTCATCAATATGTAGGAAAGGATTGTGCAGACTCATCTTGTATATTTGCTGCCATAGACATGTAACCAAATATTACTTCAGGAGCCTTTCTTTTTAGTGGGGGGAAAAATGACATTTTGATGAGATTATAATCCGAGTATCTTAGAAAGTGTCATATATATAATTTTAAGTGCTGCCTTCCCCGGTAGAATAGGAGGTCTGTTCTTTAAAATAAAAAGATCGCGTAATTAAAAATGGTGTTTTTTAAAAAAAATTCTTTCATTTCGATTTGAGGTTTTGATATAATTTTTAATGTCCACTTGTACCCTACTCTACCTTTAGTGTTTCATAATTGACCTGTAGCTTTCTCTGAATATGCATAAAAGCTGTTAGAAAATACAGTTGACTTGGAACAACATGGGTTTGAACTGCATTGGTTCACCTATATGCAGATTTTTTCCAGTAAATATCTCCACGTTTTACATCCTTGGATTCAACCAACTGCAGATCAAGAACAGTATTTTCATTTGGCGGTTGGGGGTCTGCAGATGCAGAAGGCCAACTATATGCATTGTTTTTTGCCAATTTACATAAGAGACTTGAGCATTCTGAGTTTTCTTATCTGTAGGGTCCTGGAACCCATCGCTTTTGCATATCGAGAGATGACTGTAGTTAAGTTTTTGGGGAGTCACAAGTTATATGTGGATTTTTACTGCTGAGGGGTTGGTGCCTCTACCCACCCTCCCAGTTGTTCAAGGGTCAGCTGTATTATTAAAACCAGATTTACCTTTACTTTGTTGCCATCTGGGTCTTTAAACTTGGGTGCTTATTCTTTCTAAACTAATAGCAGTGAATACATATGAATTTTGTTAGCACTTTGTTAGGGCCTCAGGCTGTTCTTTAGTTATTAATTATTTAGTGGAATGGCTTTTCTTCATGACTTAGAACTTTGGTTACTCTTTAAAGTAAATTGAATCTAAGAGCTTATTTTTTGACTGTGTAATATTTAGTCACAGGACTTAGAAATAGGAAGACAGAACAGCAGCAGTTTACCGTATGAAATCTGTTGCACAGTCTGAGGAACTAGCTTGTGTGTTTGATTAATTCAAGCAGGAAGGTTGACGCAGAAATGTCCAGGAGGAGTCCCTACTGCTTGGATTCGTGAAAGTACAGTTTATAGATTTTTTTTTCCTTAGAGTTGGAATCAGTGGTCAGTATTTTTTCTTTAATTTTGTGGTATGGAACGAGTATAAAGACTCTTGGTTTCTCTTGGTCCCCATGTATTCTTGACATGTACAAGTAGAAACTCATGGTTTAATCTGGCCCAGAAATACTGTCTAGAAAATATTTATGTTACAGAAGTCATCCTTAAGAGAGCAGGAAAAACCCTGTACTTTCAGATGACCAGATTTTTGTGTTTACAGTCAGACATAAGTTAATTTGAATTATAAAATGAACCCTAAACTCTAAATTTAATGAATATAGTAGATAACATTTAGAAATATTACGTGAAGCTATAGAAAAGTTAAGAATATCTAGATATTCTGGTATCCCACCAGAAGTACTCTATAATCTTAGGCTTTACAACTTTTTCTTATATTCTAGAAATAATTATGAATAAAATCAAAATGAGTGACTTCCTGTTTGGCAGTCGCAAATTGGTAGGAGTTGCTGTTAGGATAACCAAGTGGGAGGAGACGTGAACTTGGTTCTGCACGTGCGAGAGCAGAGTGTTCGGCTTCGGAGAGGAGAGGGCGTAGTGTAGGGAGAAAGTACAGTGGCACAGTTGGGGCCAGTGAGAGTGGAGTCACAGATTGCTCTCAAAACAGAAGTCTAAAATCAAATTACACTGATAGCAGAGTAACTGGGGAAAAGATTTTAACCATTGGAATTGGATTTTTGGTAGAACTAATGTAATATTTTTATAAACTATATATTTGTAGTATATAAGTTATATGCTGTAAACTTATAAATAAATTAATAATGTAAACCTAGAAGTCTCCCAACATGTTCTTGGTTTATTTTTCTGTCATGTAGGGGGGCATGTGAATTTAGCCAGCCATCAGTAAAAATCCTTGTATCTGAGCAGGAAAATATGTATTTAT